GGCCTTGAGGAAAGCCAAAGGCAGCCATGGAGCCGACCAGTGGACAAGCGAAGAAATGAAAGCGCTCCCGGAGGAAGCCGCCCGTGAAATGTGGGAGGCAATGGAGATGTGGGAAGACCTGGAGATGGTGCCAGAGCAGATGCTACACTTCAGGCAGGTCTTTTTACCCAAAGAGAAGGAGAAGGGCAACCACCAAGTGGAGAAAATGCGGCCTATCACTATTTCATCGGTGATGTGGAGAGCCTGGTCACGCACATGGGCGCAATCCGAACCATTGGAAGCAATGAGGAAAAAGTATATTCCAGGATGGGTAGGAGGATACAAAGGTGCCGCCGGCCCAGAAACCCTGGCGGCCCTGTTGCAGGGACAGTTCGACTCCATGGGATTCATCGCCGCCTTGGATTACTCCAAAGCCTTTGACATGGTGAACGTGGAGATGTGGAACCATCTTATGGAGGGGTTGATTGAGTCCACAGCTCAAGCAGCGGAACTTCACGGCTGGAGGAAAGTGCTGAGAACAGTTTGGACTCAGCAAAGCAGATGGTGCAGCTACGAAGGGCACATCAGCGACACACCTGAGCTGGTCACCCGGGGGCATTCCCCAAGGGGACCCCTCATCACCCTGTGCACTTTCATACCTTATGGCAGGAGCTGCGCTGTTGATCGCCAAGAGGATGGGGCCAGAACGTGTCCGGCAAATCGTGTACATGGACGACAGATCCATCACTGCTCGCAACTATGAGGATTTGCTCCAGACCATAGAGCACTGGAAGACAGTCAGCCGGGAGCTGGAGCTGGTGGAAAATGTGCACAAGTGCCGCCTGTCAGACAAGCAGCTGGGAGGAGACTTGGTGATCTTGGGCTGCGTCATCAAAGGAAGCCCAGGCAATGAAGGAGGGAATGAAGTAACAAAGAAACAAGAGGAAAGAACGAAGCAAGAGGAGACGAGGAGATCGAGGGTGCGATTTTTGCCCAGGTCACTTTTACAGAAGTATGAGGACGTTCGCACCTTTGCGCTGCCCACTCTTTCCTATGGGTGGATTGGTGAAAGACCCAAGAAGGCTGTGGTGGAAAGAAGGGACAAAGCCACTTGGCAGGCGGCAGGAGGGCGATATGTACACGGCTGCAACGAACTCCGTGCCATTCTAGCAGGAGCGCATCAGATGTGGGAGGCGGTCATCATGTGGAGACATGCAGCCACGCTGGCCAACCGCAAAAAATGGTCAAGAAAGTTAGGTTGGGAAGAAGTTAGGACCAACCTTGACGAGCTGCATGAGGAGAACATGAGGAGACTAGGATGGATCCCGCAACCTGGAGCTTGGGCACATCCTTATTGCGGAAGGATCCGCCTTGTGGAGTTGGAGACGGGCGCTGAGGAGCGACCAAAAGCCTTCCACAAGCTGCGGGAAAGCTGGCGGCGGTGGTGGTACAACAAGCTGCCCAATCACCACCGGCATGAGTTCCATGGAGGTGGGCTTGAGGATTACAGTGAGCCAAGGGTGAAGAGGGCAAGGAAGGCGGCACAGGAGGGAGGCACAGCGTTTCTCGCGGCAACGGGCTGCATTGCCAGTGGTCGAGTGCGCGCAGAGGGCCGAAGGGGCATCCAGATCCCCTGTCCTACATGCCGGGAAGAGAACTGGACCTGGGACCACGTTTGGAAGTGTGGGGTGCAAGAGGATGAACCCTCTGACCTGCTTGCTCGAAGGTTTCTGTGGCCTATTGCAGGGGAGGAGGCAAGTAGGAGGAAAGCTTTGGCCTGGCTTGACGAGTGGCTGAAGGTAGCAGGGAAGGCCAAGAAGGCACAAGCTAGAGTCACCCAAGAATAAGGAAAGCTATTCATTTTCACATGAGGACGTTTACCAGCGATTTGGTATTTGAGGAATCTTTACCAGCGGATATCACATTTAACATCGATGTGGCGTGCCCATTCTTCAGGGGATGCGGCATTTCAAAATCTTCTTCTTCTTCTTCTTTCCAAACCTGAAAGTTTCATTCACCGTGGATCTCGCGTTTCAAATGTTCACCACGGGAGGCATCCTGCAGCTCTACTGGATGAAGTTCATCTTCGCCCTTGCAGCTCGGAGTGTGTAACTTTTTCGGACTATAGCTCGGAGTGTGAAACTTGTTTGGACCATAGGACTCCTTGGAAGCTTTTTTTTTGCAGCCTTAGGCCACTTGCCATTTCCGGGTTTCTTGGGCAAGTGAGTTCATGTTTCCTGCCAGCTCAGTTAAGTTTCAGCCCCGCAGGCGAGTATGGCGACAAGCCCGGGCGCACCTGGCTGTGAGGCATTGGCACGAAAATTCGGAGAATTTTTGGAGATTTCTTTCGTTAAAGGGGTGTTGACACCCCTTGGTGAGGATCAATCCGAAGTGAAAACATTGGCCTGCGTGTTTTTTTTCGCCCACCTTCAGCCCACGTTCAGCCGAAGAACTGCGCGGACTCCGCCAGCTCCTCGTTCCGCGCCTGAGCGAGGAAAAAAAAACGGCTCGCCGGATGCCTGGTGCTTTGTTGTTGGATGCGAAGGATTCCGAAGGATTCCGAAGGCTCAGGTAAACCCTAATTGATGCATATTGATGCTTTTGATTTGGATTTCAACCCCTTCTTGTAGAGGGTTTGCATGGGAAACATGAAGCCACCCCGGAACACTACCAAACCACCCGGCTCCAAACCACCAATTGGAGCGAAAAGGATGCGTTTGGGTAAACTCGTGTTGAAGGCTGAAGGGCGCTGGCAAACACTTCGGCCTCTTGTCAAAACAGTGGGTCTCTTTGCTTTTTTGCCACTCTTTCGGTGGGCATGGCATGTTATATGTGTATCACTCAGCGTTGGCCAAGGAAAGACTTCGCAATCATTTTCGCTAGGGTTATGGTTGGTTTACTCAAAAAGGGACCCCCGAACACGGGGCGTTGCCCTTGGCTGTCCTTGAAATACCAGCCAAAAAGTCCACCATTTTGAGGAACCCTTGTAGGTCTTTAGGCTCGGCACCGCTTGGGGCCTTTTGTGAAATGCAGTACTTAAAACTTGTTCAGCGAAATCCCGAGGAATCGACTGAGCCCACTCTTGCCTCGCACTTGTACGTTAAGCTCGCAAGTTGACAGGGCAAGGAGTCGAACCCACAGACATCCTGACTTGAAAAGAGCGATGGTTGAACAGAATGGCGAATCAACCCCTAGAAGCCTTAGTGCAATTCCTTTAACGGAAGCCGAAGGGTGGCCGGTTGAACAATGGCCAAAGATACTTACGTTATCTGAAATGAGTACTCTTCCGAATAAAGTTTTCTATGTGACCCGGTACCGTCTCTGGCTACCTGAAATTCTATATGTTTGAAGTTGATAAACTCAGGGTAGGCCCAACCCTTCCTTGTGCATTCAATCACCATTGTCTAAAAGGCATTCAGGGTACCTGACAATGAGTCCTATTGTGGATGCACCAGTCGAAAGGCAGTTTGTCCCGGTGGGATGGGCTTCATGCATCCAAACTGCTGCGAAATGGATTTGAGCGGCGTCAGGCAAGGTTTACACTCCCTGATGCCAAGGCGAGCCAGTCTCGGGTTTTCGCTGGGCATGTGTCAAGATTGAAGTTTCTATGGGTCAAAACCCCGCAGAAAGCCTTCTAAAACGACAACAGTGGAGGAACCATCCCCAAAAAGGCACCTTAGGTTTGGACCCACAACCAAATAATTGTTGTTCTTCCTCGCCCTTTTGATGCGACCTCCCATAATGTGAGGCAAGCAGTGTTGCTTTGTTTTATCTTTGCAGTCGGCTGCTTCAGTTGCGGTTCGAAGCAGGCTGTACTGCAGCATAGCATGCACCTGACTTTTTGGCATACGGCATAGCTACTGTTCAGCTGTGTGCATTGCTGCTACCCGTGACAACTCAGGGTAGCACAGGCGAGTGCAGCTAACTCAAATACACGGCGCAAGTAATAGCAGGCGTCACTTTGACTGACCAGGGCCCGTCACAATCTGTTCATTCACTTGTCCCGTACTGTTTTGATTCCGTGTGTGTTTGGAACCTAGCAGTGACTTTCCTTATGATAGAGAATCGGCCAGTCATGTGTCAGCATGTTGGTCTTTTTGGCCCCATGAGGTAACTGTGTGTGTGTGGGTGCATGTGTGTGAGTGAGCAGTCTTTTGGTTCTGATTGTCCTCAACAGATGAGCCGCAATCAAACCCGGGTAAGTGAAGGTTAGTAAGGGACGATCCCAGCCATAAACAGCGGCCGCCTCCTTCTTAGTTCTTTGCATGGTTCTGGGTCGACCATTTCTAGCCGGGTTTTGATTGTGACTCAGGTGAACTTCTGATTGTGCTCGGCAGCTGAACGTTGTGGTGGAGGTCGGGCACAGATGCCGATCGATGATTTGTCACGGCGTAGTGCAAATTCCTTCGACAGAGGGTGGCATACAGAAGACTAATCTTACAAAACTAGAAGTAATTTGAGAAGACTTTGATTCTGCGGCACTTGCACAGGATTTGCAGATTCATACGTGCTGCTCGACAGCTACTCATTGAGCCTTTCCTTGCAATCGCACTGCCACTGGGGAAGTAGAATGTCTGAGTCTTTTCTGTGTTTGTGTTTTCTTCATGGGGGCTTGGATTTTTTGTAGCGCTCCGATTTTGAGAATGACAAACGAGAGCGCAACAGGGTCAGGGTACGACATGCCGAGCTTCAGGCGCCCTCTAGGCATGCTACCCTTCACGTGTTGGCATTTGCGTTGAGAGCTTTTTGGGCTGGCGGCATTCCATAGTCACGTGCAGTTGGAATGGCAGTTTGTCATTTGCAGTTGGGATGTTATAGAGACACTCGCTGAAAAGCAAGGCAGTGGACAAATCCAATGCATCAAGGGGCGTCCTCCATGAATATCCATGCCATGCAGGGGGGGAAAGTGGCGCTAAAGCCGCAACAAGCTTGCGCAGACCGTTGCATTTGAACGGTTCGCTTCTATGTTTGTCGGTCCTTCATTGTGACCCATGCCCGAACCAACTCTCAAGCTTTTCTCCAGTTTCCAGCCTTTGGCTCGACATTGCAGACTTGTCTGTGCAATTTAGTTCCGGTCGCCATGGCCGTCGTTTTCCTCGTTTGGGCGTCCTTGGCGCCATTGGCCTTGGGCGCGCGGGTGGCCGTGAGTGGCTTCGCGTCCGAGAGCCGCGGCCCCAAGCCCGGGCACCGCATCGCCATCGTGGGCGCCGGCCCCGCCGGGGTTCACATGGCACCTGGGCGAACGCGCGCCCGCCAGGTGCCCTACCCTTTTTTGGGGGAGGGCTCCCCTACTAAAATAGACATAAAATAGACTACAGAAAAAAAGAAACGGTACCCTCATTCTAACCTGTTTACTGGAGGACCTAGTGTATTGAACAAACATCCACATGGGCTGTGGAGGAAGACACCTCCTGCTTAAAAGACTCCACCCTCCCTGTATGATGGGCACCTCGTTTTTTTGGCCGCCAGCTTCTTTGGAATATTTGTCTTTTGGGTTTGGAGATTCCCTTTGCACCATAATTTGAAGGTCGCTTTGAGGATTTGACCCAGTTAGAGCCTACGGAGGAAAAAAAAAGAAACAAACAAGAAGAAAAAGCCAAGACCTTCGGCATGCTGTGAAGGTGGTGGGCCGTACTTTGAGGAAGACAGGCAACGGTTATCACAGCGGCACAAGCCACCGTGCGCTACACGCAGCGTATCTCCGCCTAATTGATGAATCTAGGCGGTTGTCTTTGCGGCAAGACCGCGGCTTTCAGCACGTCCACCGCAAGTGGCATCTGCCCTTCATTTGTAAAGTGGTGTGTTGGGGTGGTTCTCCATTGTCGCTGCTGATTTATCGTGCTGTAGTTAGAGGCAGTTAAAGGGGCAGTTTCCATACCCGGAGTTTGCATCTGGATTCCAAGATGACGGCTAGCATCGGCACCTCTATCTTAAGATACCTTAATGCAATTTTGCGGGATGGGGTCATTCGCTCTCTTTCGCGCCACGGCAAACGCTCTCACTCATCATTCCCCATTCCTCATCCCCTGCAAATCCAACCCTTTGAGCTCTGAAACAGCGTTGGGAAGACTGCTCAATGGGCGAAATCCTCTCTCACCAATTCAGATTCTAACCTGACAGGGGGTCCCTGTAAAAGGAAAATGGTCTTCCAGAACCACTTATGTTCATTGTCGGGTGAATAGCTGTAAACTCTTATTTCCCAGTTGGAGTCGCAGTGGAGAGCTCAGGCGAGTCGGCTGCGTCAGATGGGCCATACCGAGACGACGCTGCTGGAACGCAGCGATCGGGTGGGGGGCAAGTCACTGACCATCTACCTGAATGAGCATGGCGAGGAGTGCGAGCAGCAAATGGATGCCTCGGGGAAGGCAGGGTTCGCCTCCGAGAACCCATGCCAGATGCCCCCTTTTCAATTGACCTGGGTGAGTCAATCTGGGCCATTCGGTTCCTGAGAACTGATCTGAGGACGGCCCAGTGAAAAGGGGTTCCCCCCAAAAAAAACGCCACTTCAACCCAGGGATGTTTCTTTTGGGGAAGTGAGCCACTGGCTTCGAGGGTTCCTTCGTCAAAGAGTGGAACCCTGGATGGTAGCACTGTCCCCTGCGACATCCCACAGTTTACGGAGGAGAAGGGGACCGAAGCTTCCCTTGACGGAGCTTCTTCTTCAGAAGCCCAGTGGCCCCCATTTGCCGAGTGGCGCCCCCTTTTCCTCTTTTTTGGCAAAGACTCCCCTTGAATCTCAACCAACCAAAACCGGATGCCTTTTTTTCTTCCCCACGGAAATCCACTAGGCATCTGAGAGCTGCTAGATGGGTTTTCTTAGATTCCTTTCAACATCGTGAGGCAGTGCCCAGTCCATGTGATTTCCCGGTGTCCCCCCACCCTTTGGGTCAAAAAGCCGCTTTCAGTTTGATCGAGGCACAACCTGACAGTTGCTTTCAAACAGAAGTTTAAAAAACAAAAAAGTTCTAAAAACAATATGTACAAAAGAGTTTTTTGTTTTTTAGTTTTGATTTTTAGATGAATCTAAGAATGAGCTGTATGAACCATCCATCCATCGCTCGACATTTGAGCGGATCCCTTCCTTCCTTCCCAAGCCCTTCTTCCGATCCCATTGCCCGCGCCCATGGGCCAAGCTTCGCGGACTTTCTTCGGAGGTGGACACGGCGTCCTGCGTGGCCCACGCGCCTTGGCGAGTCTGTGAAGTTTGCCGGCTGAGTTGTTTGAAACCTTTCAATCATGAAGGAGAGAGAGAGAGAGAGAGAGAAAAAAAAAGTCAGAAGCACCAAAACAGATATCACATTGCCCCAACTTTCTGGGCACATCTTCTGTTGCACAATAGACTATCTGCATTCCGCAAGCACGGCGCGCGCGCGCGCGGTATTTTTGTCCAGCGTGGCAGCAACGAGGAGATGGGCACCTGTTTCCTGCACAACGGCTACCACAGCATCCGTGAGCTCGTGGATGAGTGCCTTGCCGGACCATCTTCGCGATCCATCCTCTTGGGTTGACTGCCTTGTCTAGGTCCCCAGCAAGTGGTGCCCTTCTCTCCCCTTCTTTTTTGGCTGGGAGGGTTTTTCCTGCTAAAATGGACGATTCAGAAAACAGAAGCGGTACCCGTATTCTATCAACTTATTCTATCCTCTCTACTGGAGGACCTAGTTGTGGTTGCTGTTGCGTTGGGGAACCCTTGCTGGTCATCATTAGGTGGCTTTCCGCCTACCCTCTGCGATTATCAGAGGCTGCCTGTTAAATTCAGCAAGTGGGAAGCAAACCTCTTGGGCATGTGCGGCTTGATAGAAGCGGCCCGCTGGTTTGGCTGCAGTAATGCAGTAATGCAGCTCGTTGTTGTATTTGCCGTTCCCGCCTCTTTGAACGCACACGCCTCTTTGGATGGCAGGCCATACGTGGCCAAGCTTGCGATGTGCGATTTTCCCCTGATGTCACTCCTGCGGGAAACACCTGAAAAATAACAACTTCTCCCCAACCGTGCTAAAAGCAATCTTACCGGACCAAGAGCACAGATGAAGGCGTTGTGCATGCCCACTGGGAGTGGACAGCACAGGTCAGTCGTTTCTGCGATGGTGTCCACTACCGAGACAGTTTCATAGGGTTCAAGAGGACATACAAGCACTATGCAGCCGCTATATTATACCAAGGGTGTCTATATAGCATACATATATATATATATACATATATATATATATACACATCTGTCTCTATACATATATATATATATATGTATAAAGCAGGGTATCTACCACGTATGCCCCTGGGGTCGTTTTTTGGGGGGAGGCCGAGACCGCCGAGACCAACGGCTGAGGTACAATCTGACGCACGTGGTGCCGCCCGAGGGCCGGGCCATGTTCTCGCACTTCTCGACCGACAGGTTCCACTCGCAGGACATGCCCCTTGCATGGAGCCTGGACCTTCGGCCTTCGGGACGGACCCCGTCAATTGAAAAGGAAAAGGGCCACCTGCACGGCCCGGAAAGTCAGGGTTTTTTGGTCCATGTGAAGTGATGGGAGAGTACTTGTTTTTTGTTGTTCTCGCATTTGTCACTGACCTTTGTCAGTTTTTGTTGGGGAGGCTGGTTGGATGGGTGGCAGGCTTGGTGCGGTTTCCTCGCGGCAAGCAAGAGGGGCCCTTCCGGTTGGCCACCCTGGAAGATGCGCGCCTTCGTGTCCAGATAGTGGAAAGTTTGGGGTGCTGTCAGTTTTTGGCTTAAGAGGCAGCTTGACCTCCTTACAACAGCTCTGCTCGCCTCACTTGCAAGGGCGTTTTTGTTGCTAGATAGGCCGCGGCCCAGAGTTGGATGTTGGGAACGGTTGCACAAATCCTTTTTGACCCTTCGACCTCTCACTTGTGCCTCCGAATTCCTGTTCAGGCCATCGGCATGGCCAGTATCCACTGACAGGTTTGATTTACCCTCGAACCACTACCGAGACCCAAAAGTTCATGGGGAAACACAGGCCACGTTGTATTGCGGGTATACAGTCGATATATGCCCCAGGTTTATGATTGTTTCCCTTCGTTGCAGCTGTGCCATCGATTTCCATCCGCTTGGATGGGGCAAAATCTAAAGTCCCTTCAAAGCAGAACCCGGATCGCCAACCAAAGGGAAACCACCCTTTGCAGGTTTCCCTCCAATTCGTGGTTTGGACTGGTGGTTTGGAGGTTAGGTAGTTTCCCATTAGCCAGAAGTTCAATCCAGATCCAAACCAATCCACCTAACCAAGGGTTCTCTGACTTTGGAGGGTCCCTCAAAAGACAACCACTAGTTTATCAGGCCCCCCTTTGGTGTTTTCGCTTGTCCTTCCCGTACCGGGTAAACCCTCACCACCACACCGGGCTCCAAACCACCAAAAAGACCAGCAAAACGATCGACGTCAGGGGGGCCATCCTGGAACTCCAGTGACCCCATGCAAAAAACAGCTGCCGATTTGCAGGGACGAGTTCGTGACCTCCTCAATCATGGATGGCGTGCGAAGCGGCACCATCTACGCGCCATCTTGGGCGGACCCCGCCTGAGTTGGGACGTCTTCCCGGGTGCTGGTCAGTTTGGGGCCTTCCGAGCCACGCCCGAACTATCCTGCGTTCCCAGTTTCTGTCTTGTTTTTTAAAACTATTTTCTTTATTTGGAGGGGGGGGATGCTTCATGATGCTTCCCTTAAGCCAGTATTTAGATGGTAATGGATGTCACTTGCATGGACCCAGGGCTGCGTTTGTGCGCATTTGTGTGTCTTGGCTGGCCATGCCATTGTACCGTACTTGCCCATTCCGGACTGACCGCTGGCTCATATGCGTGTTGTTTGTTTGTGGTGTTTGCGCGTTGCGTTTTAGTGACGTGATCGTTCAGCCATGTCCATCTGAGCCATGGACAAGAGCCACCTCTACTTGGGGTAGCAGGGATGGGTGGTATAAGCGGTATAAGGATCCTTCAGAATATGCACAACGATTCCTAAGGGAGCCATGACCATTGGCCACATACGCAGATTTGACGAGCCCCACGGTCCAGTGACGACTCTGAAGCAAAGTGCTGGGCTTGGGATCCATCAACCTGGCCTGAGCAATCCCAGCGCACTTCTTGACTTCATACACCATACTGTGGATGGAAAAGCGACATCCATTTCGCACCACGTGGGAAACCATGGGAAACCATTGTTCATGGGTATTTACAGGGGATTCATCATTCCGGGGTTTCTTAGGTGGTGCGAAATGGGTTTCGTCCATCCACAGCATCGCCTCATTTGCGCAACCTGTACAGGCACGGGATGAGATGCTTCCATGCCATGCTTGATTGACCAATTGGACGACTGAGGCCACTCAAAACCCGCCCATGAAACGTGAAATGTGGTTCATTCAGGCATTGTTTGATTTGCAAGGGCGGGCGCTCATAGTTGAGCCCGTGTGGACCCAGCTGCTCAGGTTGCCAATTCTTTAGCATGCTTTCTGAGTGGGGCCTGCAAATCCTCCGGGGACCCGTGAGGTCCCAAATCCCCACGCCGGCTCAGATCGGAAGCAAGTTGAAGGTGATGGTTGCGCTGCTGCGAGCAGTGAAGAAGTACAACACGCTGCACAAGGATTCTTTCAGATTTAAGTAAGGGAGTTTCCACGGTGCAAAGTGCCCAAAAGTGTCATTCACAATTGGTTTGGGGTGGTTGTCAACATGATGTTGTGCGTTGGCTTCTTTGGGAGAGCTGCATGGCAAGCACAACTTATATGCTTGGGCTGCCGTTCCCCTCCCGAATTTCAGCTGACACCTACACCTACCACCCATTCTGTAGAACCCATTTGTTCGAAGGTCACATAGGGTCAGCCAACGCAATCTTAGTTGTTGCTTGCCTTTGGCGTTCGATGAGCGGGTGTAAATGAGTGGGTCATAATTTGGGGCATCTCGTCTTTTTGTTTGGGTTCGTCTATGTTTTGCTTGGACAACCATGCCCGCAAACACACCGACCTCACCCAGACACGCGCAAGCAGATATCCCTCCCCATGGACACTGCGCCGAACCCTCCATTTTTACACAGATAAACTTCAACCAGAGCGTGCCACTGCATAAAGGATACATATATATATATATATTATCCTGTGTTTGCCGGGGGGTTGTGGGTGGGGGTGTAGTGGAAGGCATCCTCTTAGAAGCTGGGGTTGCTGCCTTAGATTTTGATGTGCGACCCGAAAGGTGGAAAAAGGGAAGCAGTTCTGGTTGGGGTTGAGCAGAGAAAACACCAAACAACAAGGGATTTACATGGTGCTGCTGAACAACCAGAATCAGAGAGCTGTGATGTGGCGCATGTTTTGTGGAAACAGTCCCCATGAGAGTTTCCTCGTCACCCCTGTTGAGCTCGTGTTTTCTGCTTAAAGGAATCCAGCCGCACCAACCAACCTCCAACCAATTCACAGCCCACCGGCCCACTAACCAACGAGTCAGATATGTACCGCGACCCAGCGCCAAATCAGGAGATCTTCGGCGAAGTGGAGTTCTCTATGCCTCACAGGCTGAGCAGAGAGACGCTGCAAAGGCGCCATGAGCTGCATAGCCGAGAGAGTTGCCACCTTTTGGCACGAGAGGGTGTGTATATGTGCATGAACCCCTGACTGCGTAGCAGATGGGTTCCCGCTGTAGGAAGGGGGGGCCGGGGGTCAGTGTGTGATCGCCGGACGCGTCGCCACATCCGGAAGCAGCCGCGGCGTCGCAAGCGTTCACAAGTGGCACGCACGTTGCGCCTGCGCGGGCGTGAATTGTAGCTTTTGCGACGTTGCATGTCGTTCTGCTGCGCAGGCGCAGTGTCTTGGAAGGTTGCACGTCTGTCTCGCCTTTCCATTGTGATGTGCATTTCAGGATAGTTCAGCAGTTGTACGGATAGATAGAACACTGCAACACGTAGACAAGCCGATAGACAGTCAGCAAGACACGTAGATAGCGCCGGCAGGCAGGTGCATAGATAGACTGACCGATGGAAGACGGAAAGGTGAGGTTCGGTGAGATGAGCCGAGCTTAGATTGCGTGAGAGAGTGATGAGTAAGATGATGGGTAGGCTGACAGGCGTTGCCAGACAAGCAGTTATAGACAGAACGACGGACTAACAGACAGACTGGAAGAAGGAAAGAAAGAGAGAAAGAAGGGAGCATATAAAAGGAAGGGACGGGGAGGGAAGCAAGAACGGAAGACAGAAAGAGAAAGAGAGAGAAGGGCAAAAAAGAAGAACGGAAGAAAGAAACATAATTAAGGAAAGAACAGAAAGAAATAAACAGCAAGCGTAAAACACGAAAGAGCATAATTCAAGACAGTAAGTAAAGACAGGGGAAGAAATATAGAAATCAAAGACATAGCGTTCTCAGCGGAGGAGCTTGCTTTGGTGTGTGCTTGCTTTCTTTCTAGCTGTGCTTCTTTCCATCGTTCCTTCGTTTTTTTCCTTGCTCTCTGCCCTTCCTTCCTTCCTTCCTTCCTTCCTTCCTTCCTTCCTTCCTTCCTTCCTTCCTTCCTTCCTTCCTTCCTTCCTTCCTCCCTCTCTTCCTTCAAACCCACCGAATGCTGTTGGTCACAAGGGCAAACCAGAATGGGCTGATTGGACATAAAAGCCCGGGTGGCTTCGTGCAAAAGAGTGCCAACCATAGAATCCTGGAAGTCGACCAAAGAAAACATCACGCCCAGATAAGCTGCACTGTCTGCCCTGGCTGACATCTTGGCAAGCTCCTAGGCACCACCCGCAGTGCCAAAGACATTAGCGCACACTTCCAGCAATCAATGCGGAGCCCCAACGAAGGTTTGGCTGCGGGTGTACGGCGAGCTCTGGTCTTCCTTGCTTTTCCGGATGGTTTGGTTTTTATTTGGTCACATTCTGAGGCTGGACCAATCTATGGTTAAGGGTGTGATTTGCGATTCTGCTCACGCCGATGCGGTGGCTCATGGCTGGCATTATGCAAGAACTGGGCCAAATAATTCTGGAATTGGGTTGCGCTGCGTTGGATGGCAGCACGCTGGGATTTCCAGCGATGTTGCCAGTGACCGCTCTTTCTGGCTCGCTGCAACCACAGCATTGCAACGCAATACTGATTAGACATGATGTCATGGCTTTTGATGTGAGATGCGCGCAGGGAAGCTTTCTTCCTCACACCTTTGGAAACCCAGCTGTGGCGACTTCAGTGGCTGCATCGCAGCAAGGAGTGGTTGCAAGTCAAATGCACGGCTGGTGTCTCTCTTCTGGCTGTGCTGGATGCGATTGGCCGCCTGATTGGGGACAGGACTTTCCATGATATTAGAGTCGTTGTAGAAGGCAAGAAGGAGAGAAACAAAGAAAAGAGGAAAGGAAGGGAAGCTAGGGAGCGCAGCAGGAAGATAGATCAGATAGAAAGCTGCAGAGACTGATAAGTAGAACGGCTGGTAAATACATAGAGGAGAGAGCGAGGGCGGAGAGAGAGAGAGAGAGAGAGAGAGACCGACGCATAGGCCCAAAGATAGCATATGGACAAATGGTTAGGAGATAATAACACCTTCCCAGCTCAAAGGTGGAGAAATAGATGCGCAGATAGGTGCTCGAACATCGGTAAGTAGGAAAGGTAAATGGGTAGGCAGAGATACACATGCACAGACAGACATGCATTAGGGTTTGTGGTTTCTACCATATATGTACGTCTTTCAAGTTTGTTGTTGTTTGTGTGTGTGTGTGCTGTTTGTGTTTCTGTTTGTTTGTTTGCTTGCTTGGCTGCTTGGTCGTTCGCATGTTTGTTTAGCCAAGTTGTGTTCTTTCTTTGGTTTGTTTGCTGTGTTGATGGTTTGCTTTTGATTTGGTTGGTTTGGGGGGCTGGGTTGATTCGGTTTGGCTTGGTTTCGGTTTCGGTTGGTTTGTTTTCGTTTGTTTGCTTGCTTGGTTTTTGGTTGGCAGTGTTTTGTTCCGTTGCTGGCTCTCTGGCTGGCTTGCTGGGTGTTTGTACGTGTCTGGAATGATGGGTGGATGGATGGATAGATGGCTTGGATTGGTGGGTGCGCACCCTTGCGAAGTGGCGGGGACCCCTTTCAAACCATCCAAACGGGCTCTGGTTTTGCGACTGGCCGTGTCTGACCATGTGGCATTCCAATCCAAGCTGCTCCAGTTCAGTCGGATCATTCACGGTTGGCATGGCGTTGAATCTCATTGAATCGGGCACCACGCAAAGCGGTTGGACATGAATCCCCACCTAAATGGTGTCCGCCATGCAGTCCCCACATCCACGTGTAGGGATTGCATGATCACGGTGCAAAGTTTGCGTCACCGAGATCTCCCCACCAAGAAATGGGGTAGCCTCAGGGCAAGCACCTTTCTTAAGCAAAATTTAGTTGATGCTAGTCTCTAGGAAGCAGGTTGGAAACGGTTTCTGCGGATTTCCCCTGGTCTTCCCCTGTTGGTTCTTTTTAGTGCTTGTTTAGTACTCTTTTAATATCCTACAGGGGTGGATCCCAGAAACATCCACATCCAAACCGTTTTCTAGATAGTATTTTTCGAAGCCCTTGTTTATGGTTGGTGACGTTGACTGATTCATTTCACTTCACTTGTGTTGCATGATTGGTGAAGGCGACAACGCACCTCGTTGTAGCCTAGATACGGCCAGGATCAACATGACCTTCTTGGAATTCCTGCAATCCAACGACCTGTACGCCTTGAGCGGCTTCTTGATGTTTGCGCATGCCGCCCAAGGCTGCTTTGAGCAAAGTTGGTGGTCTTGGACTCTGGAAAAGCTGTGTGGCTAGGTTGTTTGCACAAGCTGCTCAGCGCACTTGGCTTCTACGGAAATTATGTACAGGATGCAAACATGTGCCGTGGCCAGGCCAACAAACCCGTGAAGCGCACGTTTAGAGACAAGTTGCAGTATGCTTCGCCATAGGTCAAAGCCCAGCACCCCAAATTCGTTGCCGGTGATTGTCCGTTACGACACGAAAATAATTAAGTGGTTTCCTTTCCTGGGCGGCCTCAGCCAAGATAAGACCATATTTCATGGATCACTGCCCTTTAGATCTGCATGGACTCCATATTTTGGTTGCCCCAAAACTGGATTGCAGGTTTCACGTCCATTTGCTTATCCATTACCTACATTTGGGAATGAGAAGTGCTTGAGTAAGCTTGGGATGCAGCATCGCCCTCGAATGTGCAAGTTGCGCCCAAAAATACCAAAACAAAACACTTCCCGTGTGGATCAACTGCACTTGGGGTTCCCTGTCCACATGAGAAATGGCCCTTTCGTGCTATTCTCCTTTGTTTTTCTGTTTTTTTTCCCCGGGTGGTTTCTCTTTTTTTTGGGCGGGGCTGGGTTCCAGGGTTTCCTCCATCTCCCTGACCAATGAGTCAGGCTACGGCTATGTGACCACCATCCCAGCCTTCTACGGGCTTTGGTGGATCACCCCGGAGCTTTTGAACGGCTACATGCAGATGAGCTTCCGGGAGGAGCGCGCAGTGAGAAGTTTTTTCCGTCCGTGGGCGAATTTCCCAAGCAGAAGCGGGTCCTAAAAGGGACCTGGTCGCCATTTTGGAACATGAACCAACTGATCCTTTGTGTCTTTGTATCCAGGGTGGTGTTGCCTGTTATCGTCAGAAAACTTGCGACGGGGGCCAGTGCTAGTATCCGCGTTCGTGCCTCTTTTGGTGCAAGCCGACCTGCAATTGTTAGACAGCCTATGGTTGCTCGTCTGCTGCTTGCCAGCTCAGCTTGCTGCCTGCCGCCCACAGACAGACTCTGCTCCCCGCAGCCTGTGTCTCTTCCCCGATGCCCCGCAACCAAAGAGCAACGAGCTCTTGAGGTGCCAGCGCCGGAGTTGGGATCCTGCCTCAGAAAGCGAATCCGACGACCCGGATGTCCCAGCTGACTTGCCCAGCCAGCGGCGCGCTGTGCACATTGCAGCTTCCTCCTGCGCGGGGACGCACGCTCTGACGTTTGTGCTCCTATGTCGTGCAGCCGCCAAGACAACGACAATTATGTCGAATCGGCGTCGGCCCTGGAAGATGGAAGACGCTACTGTTGCCAGCGCTGCATGCACTCCAGCCTGCAATCAGATTGATTTCGGCGGCAAAGAGTGCCCCTTTATCTTATATGTTGCAACTTGTCTTATGTGTCGGCCGCCGTTTTTCGTTCTGCAGGAGATATAGTGTCTTCTTTCATCCTTCCTTCCCGTGTGTTTGCTGCTTGCGCCAGCGGCATCGGTGATTTCTGCGAGCCCTTTGATTGCCCCACTCCATATTCATAGCTGTCATTTGCATGCGGAGATTGTATGAGTGAGACCAGGGCGATCCCACGCGCAGACCGAAGTGCTCATTCTTCTTTCGGCAAGTTTGAGCAGCAACCAGGAACAGACGAGCAGAGGGAAACAATACCTATACCATCAGGAGTCCCCTGATTTGCCTTTGACAGAAGAACCAAGGGGAGGGCAGGGCTGTTTGTCTTCCCTTTTCGGGTTCGTGGCGGAATTGGGGACCCCGCAAAATTCGTGGTTCTCCATGTGCCTTCCCTCAAAAACGCACCTTTTTCGGCAGGAGTTGGAGAAATTCTACGACCCCAAGAGCGAGTTCTTCCAGCAAATTCGGGGCACCTGGGTGCGTGCCGTAGTGACCGCCATCGTCGGAGGCGCCGCCGATGTGGTGAAGAGGACCACCACCATGCTGCCCGAAGGACGAGAGAGACTGGCAGACTCTAAGCACCTTTAAATCCCTTTTCTAGTGGTTTCCCTATAGAGATTATGGATTAGGATTGAGGACCCTGTATTTTCAATCGTTCTCGTTTCTTGAGCTTAGCATGTAGCTGTTGGGGTTTGGCGCTAAATCGAAAGAGGCTTTTTGGTTGCCAGTCCACTCAGGAAGTGAGTTTGCTGACGGGAATCGGAAGGGCCGTTGCGGAGCTGGGGATATCCAAAGTTGTTCTTTTGAGAGGGAGAGAAGGAGCTACCAGGAGTTCTGTGAGGGCATGGCCACCAAAGATAAGCTTTGTCTCTCGAAGATGTGGTGTTCCTTGCGAGTTCCCCTGGCAAACAGGCACCGCTGATAAATGACACCGTTGCCAGTCATGTACATTTCCCTTGAAAAAAGAAAACCACCAGGGGCAGGTGGAAAACAACGGACACACAGCCGCGGCTGAGGCCGCCCTGTGCATCTCTTTTCAGGCCTGGCGCATTTTTGTTTAAGCGACTGCGCGCCAACCAGCTTACAGGTTCAGATGTAAAGCCAGAATGCAGTTGTGCCAGGATACCAAAAGATTTGGACCACCATTGCGGAGAAGGACGGCTTGGATGTCCGCTATGGGGTCGAGATTTTGGACCAGGGCATCGACCGGCAGCTGGATGATCCCTCTGCGCCTGTAAGAATCAAGTACCGCCAGAAGGGCAAGAACGAGGTGATCGAAGAGGAGTACGACTTTCTGATTTACAGCGCCCCTCATGCGCATGCCAAGAACTTTGTGAAGGATGTGGCCATTCAAGAAGAAAGCATTTTCTCAAGCCTGAAAAGTTTCGTCCTGGCTACCACGCTGTATTCAAGTGAGCCAGTTCTGGACTACACTGACTCAGCGAGGCGACCGATCATGTACGAAGCAGACAAGATGTCTGGGCCAAGTCACGATGGTTCCTGGTACGCTGACCGCTGGGATGACTTGATTTTCGGGCAGCCGATCCCTGGCCGTCAGACGCGGGTGGGGTATCAGTTCTATGAGAAACTTGGTCCGCAGCCGGCCGATTTTTCCCATGGGTTTCTTTTGGTCCGGCACTGCTTTTGGGGCTTGACGCCGCGCGAAAAAACAACATGCCCGATGTTTGCTCACTTGGCTGGGTTTCCTCGGGTCGCTTGACGTGCGCTTTGTCGCTTGACGCGTGCGCGGAGCGTGCTGAGGAACTATTGCCAGGGCGGAGATATGATGTGCAACAGCGACCGCACGCCCAACGAGGGCGGCGCCATGGAGTCCTCGGAGCGGGCGCTGCGGCAGTTCAGGGGCGAGTTGGAGCGGCAAAATGTGAGCGGCGTGAACACCTTGCGCCGCTTCGGTGCAGTTTGCCAAGGGATGTTTGGACTTTAACTTTTTGCCAACTAGTGGGTTTTCCGTATTAAACCACTAAAAGTTAACTTTTAGCAGGGGAGCAGAAAGCAACTGAGGTCAGTACCCCTGGCCGTACTTCCATCACTTCCCACAGGAAGCAGTTCAAGAAGGCGGGCGATGGTGCATTTTGAAATTTTGTTTGGATGTTAGGACTTTCACATTTTGCCAACTAATGGGTTCTCCATTAAACTGCTAGAAGTTAAACTTTTTTAGCAGTGGAGCAGAAAGCAACCGAGGGAAGAACCTGAGCAAATTGGGGGAAGTAAGCGAAAACTTGGTGCTGGCCACTCCTCAGGTTTTCGCCACAACCCCCCGCGCCCCCCCCCCCCCTTTGTTTGGGGTAAACTCGCATGTTGAAGTTTCCAAGCGCCATTCCCGGGCAAACAGGCCAGTTCTTCCTCCCTGCGAGATAGCTCTTGCGGCGGTTGAGTCACAGTCAGAATTCAGGTAGGTGAAGCTTAGTCAGGGATCGATATTTTTTTGCCATGGCCGCCTTCGCCGTTTTCAGTTCCCTGGCTTTGGGCTTGGCCCATTCTACCCTTGACTGCTATTGGGCAACGGATTTTTAGACTTGAACTTTTTGAAAAGACTCACCCCCCAAAAAGGTGAACCACTTTTTGCAGGGGGGTCGTTACCGCACCCAGGCAAGGTGTGGGACCTTTTGGAGATGCAAGGCCAGCGCAAGACTTGGTGGATCGGAGCCAGTGCCTGCTTCGAGTCCGTGCACGACGTGACCAATTACAACCTGATGATCTTGCGACGCTCGGCAAAGAAGCCCAGGTCCCCAAAGAAGTGGCTGTGGGTCAAACATATGCACCCAGGAGCCCAAGTCCCCAAACAAATGTCGGCTGGTCAAAAATATATGTACCCGGATTCCGATGGCGCGGGAGAGAGAATGGAACCCTGGCAAATGGAAACTTGGACTACAACCTGCGGTGCCCTGATGGTTTAGAGTTGACCCACGCCCAAGTGAGGGCCTTTGACCCCCAAAGACCAACCACGAAATGAGGCTCCCGCCCGGTCCAGGGGACTGGTGGATTCCAAGTTTGAGGGTGTGGTGTTGGGTTCCATGGATTTCACCACAGCTTGCCAGCCTCATTCCTCCAGCTAGAGTCCCCCTAAATGTGGAACCTTTTTAAGGGGAGAAACAAAAAGCACAATAATTGACTTTGATCACCAGAAACCGTCAGAAAATCCTGACCTTACGCTCTCGCTGGGCCAAGGGAAAAAAGAGACCGACGTTCCTTCCTTTGCCCCATGGCAGGCAAATACATGGGCGCCAAGATTATTCAGGGCATCGCTATGGGCTGAGAGGCTGAGATCGTTCCCATGCGGTGAATCGTTTTAACGAATTCGACTGACTTGGAGCAAAACAGAAAGCGGCCAGCGAAGCATGGCGAAGCGAGGGGAAAATGTTCTTGGCCAATCCAATCTTGAGCTGCAACTGAGTTGGCCTTCCCCCCCCCCTGTGCATTCCTTCTCAGCATGTTTAGGGTTGGTCACGGCTGGTCACGGCTGGCCAGATGATTGTTGACTTTCAGAGGAGTCGCTGAAGGTGTGTCCCTTGAAACAAATCAGCCACTTGCATTGTCATATAAACTTGCATATTACAATGCAAGACGCTCATTCCTATGTCTCATATTTGGAGCCTTGCCACACTTGATGAACTTGGAGACTTGAGTTCCTATCATTGTCTTGCAAGCGGGGGCAAGGTTTTTCCGTCTTGTATGGGGGCGCGGGTGGGCCCTTTGAGGTAGGTGCTCATGAGCAACTAGGTGACTGAATGTCTCCAACCATTGTTTCGTGTGAATATGCCTTGTCCAGTCTTGCCCAATTCTGCGGGTTTTCCTCAATCCATGTGTCAGAGTACCTGCGGATCTACTGCGCTGCAGAAACATTGATCACACACCCGTCGGGGGTCTTCCCAGAAAAGCCGAGATCGACATGAGCTTGGATCAAACACGTCTATACTAGAGTCTATACTGATATATGTTTAATTTGGGAGGGGCAGCCCGGGAGGGGGGGACTAAGACTTACCAAGATTTCAGCAGCCAACAAGCCAGGGGGCGAAAGAACTCACAGAGTTTCCCCATGTCCACCATGGCTCACATTCGTTTTGAGCCACGGCGCCAGGAGCCCTTGGCTCGAAGGCTGGGCCAGCTTCCGGGCAAATTTGTGTCCGAGGGAGATGACAGGTTCTGCCCAGAACCTTTGCCAGAGGCTTCATTCAGTGGTTGTTTTGGATTGGCCAAATGCTGGGAAAACGCAGTCGATGTCCGTCCAAGGCTTGAGCTCTGGGATTTGACGTGGGCTGTTCGGGTTGTCCAGCGAAACTTTGGGGAGTGACACAGGAGTGGACCCATGGGGGAAAAAATCGCTGATGGGCTCCGCACACCAAGAAGTTCAAAAAGGCGATCAGTTTTTCATTTCCAGGTTCGAACTGGGCAAGTGTGTGAATCCAGGTCTCCCAGTAGTGCTCTTTTACCCTTTTTTGGTCGGGAGGATTCCCCTACTAAAATAGACTACAGAAAAGGTTGGTACCCTTATTCTAACCTCTCCACTGGAGGACCTAGGAATGTTTATCTTTCCAACTTCCTTTGATCTCGGCGTGGCCCAGACCGGTTGGAGAGCCGTGGACGTTGAACCTTGTCACCAGGGTGAAAGACATGCAATCCGCAGATATCCGAGGGCAGTCCTTTACAAGGATCGCATGCGATCCGGTGGACCTCGTTTTGTGGATTGGTCAAACCTGGGATTCAAGCCAAGACGGCGGTTGCCTAAGTATGTTCGACAGGCTTTCTTGGTATTAATTCCCGGACCTACAAACATCCCAACCATGTGTACTATTCACAGGGGTCCTCTTATATGTTCTTTTTTGCGGGGATTAAACAGCAGCATTGGGGCCAACTGAAAGTGAGTCTTCTTTTGGAGCGATGTTAGACCCTGCTTTCGATTTTTGCGCTCTCTCGTCACACGTTTCTATGGCTTGCAGCTTAGCTTCTTTCGCGAGCCCCGTGCCGCTGGGAACAGCCTTAGCCATGATCTTCAGGCTCCTACCCCTTCTGCTTTTGTCTGCCGCGGACGAATGGGAGCCCCTCAGAGGCGAGGGAACTGTGGAACAAGCGGGGATTCGATTCAGGCCCGCACCGGACATCGAGAAATCTCTTTGTTGGCTTGCTCATTGGCTAGCAAAAGGGGTGTGACTGGTTGTCCTTGATGTTCATGTGCTTTTCCGGAGTACTTCCAAGGGTACTCGTGAGCTAGTTGCATTCCCTTGCTGCTTGATGTGTTGCCATACTCCTTGCCAGGGATCATGCAATTGTAAATTGCAAAGCCAAAGTCCAAAAAGGAATGAACGACTGAAACTCGCGCAGATTGAATGACAAAGAGCTCAAGGGGAGCTTTGCAAGGACCTGCGAATACTCCCAAATACCTAGGCTGTTTTGGTTAAGACAGGGACGACCCTCTGAATGTCAGCCACAAAAACCAGGGAATTCTCAAGTTTGTCCATGAAGACTAAGGTAGACTATTGCTTATGAGTGGGTTTGTGTGTTTTGGAGATCTCCCTTTTGGAGTGGTTTCAAAGGGAAACCAAACGGAGATCGATTCCTGTGAGACAAACTTGGGGTGAGGACTTGAGGTGCTCGGTCGGACCGCATGTCTTGCTGGTTAGATCGGTGGGTTGAAAATGACCCCAAACTGAACCAGCCAATGGGTGTCCTAGGGCATCCCAGCAGGTTCTGTCAAAACGTCCGGATGGTTCATGGGGACCCAAATTACTCATCTCCTCTTGGGAAACCAGTAAGCTGTACCATGGCTTGTATATGGGCGTGTTGTGAATCGGTTTAAAAAGGATACTCAAGGGGAAACTGCCAATTTGGATGAACACAATCGCTTGTTCTGACTTTGATAGCCCCCAGAAACAGTCAAAATAATGACCCCAGCTTGAAGGGTTTTGGTATCTATGTACATACTCCCTGGGTTGAGCCTTTGAGGCCCCAAACACACCATATATAACTTGAGCCATCCGGTCCCTTAGCTTTTTTAGCCTTGTAGTGTTTAGTGGTAGTTTCCATTTACCTGCTAAAAGTTAGACTTTTAGCGGGGGATCGGAAAACGGGCAGCCCAGATAAGTGAAGCGTCATTTACTTAGACCAAGGGCCGACCTCCTGAGGGCGTTTTCCCATCCGCCGGCTTTGTTTGAATCAGTATTTCAAGGGCAACTCCCTTAGTTGGTGGTTTGGATCTGTGGCTACTAGTAGTTGGTTTGGAGTTCCGGCTCGAAGCCCGGCTTTTGTGGAGGTTGGGGAAACCCCTCCAAACCAAAAGCGGAAGCTGACAGTGATGGAAATTCTGTGGATTCACCAAATCCATTTCTCACCACCTAAGAACCCTGGTTCCTGATGATCCCGCGAAAATCAATGGACGAGATCAGAGACAAGATTGAGGTACTGGCGACGTCTATTAGGACAAGAGCCATTCACCACCTGATCACTACGAATACTAGCTGGCAACAGGAATGGACAAAGGAAAGCGAAGAAAAATACGCCAATGAAAATACGGAAGATGGACAACCAGCCAACACTCTGAAGGAGTTCATCGAGGTGATGCAGAGACCGAAGAGATACATTTGTGGCCTCGGTCTGGGCGCTTTGATGGAGGTCCAAAACAGCCACGTGATAGTGTGGGAAAAGAAGAATGAGGAATGGAAAAGATCATGGCTATGCAGAGCAACGAGCAAGAAAGCGCCTATAGTGCCTCTGGTGAGGAACCAAGGTCACTACTATGCACTATCCAAACCAAGGAATGGATACGACCGACAATGGATCGAAGGAGAAGAGGAAGAACAGGAAGCATGGACACAAAGAGGATGGATTTTTGGAAGAGCAGGAGGTAAGGAGGACAAATACGCGACTCCGGAAAGGAAGACCAGGAAGGAAGACGAACTGGACAGCTGGCTGAAACCGGCAAGCTGCTCAAGCAGAAGCAACAAGACAGAAGGATCAGAATCAAAAGAGGGCAAAGCCAAAGATGACCTATGGTCATGGCTCAAGCCTCACAAAAGTACCACGGGCAGCAAGAGGAAGAAGGATGAGCCAACAAGCAGCCGGAAGAAATGGATCGAGGAAGACACAGGAGACAAGAAGAAGGAAGGCAAGGACAGGAAGAAGGAAATAAAGCTTGATTGGACATGTCAGCTATGCGGGTTCCAAACCAAGGCGGACACCCGGCAGAAGCTAAGCTGGCGAGTACAAAACCACCTAGGAGTGGCACACAAAGATGAAAGGCAAGAGATCATGAAGAAACAAGCGGAGGCAGGAGCTACAGGAAAGAAATCGGGCCTGGGCATTAGAAGCCTTTTCTTGCCTTTGCAGATGAAAAAGATGACAAAGAAGGAAAAGGAAGATGCATCGTGGGTCTGCCCATACTGTGAAAAAGGATGCATAGGCAAAGCCCATAGATACGTGATGGAAATGACAAAGAAAAAACACTTGAAGGAATGTAAGCCAGGGGTAAGCCTGACACAGGCCTATCACTATGCCAGAAAGAAACACAAGCAGGAGTATAAAAAGAAGGACGAGGCCTCCGGAACAAGAATCAAGGCGAGGCAAAGGGCAATGTTGAAGGCGATCCAGAGGGGTAAAGATCTGGGGCACGAGCCGGTCTTCATGAACCTGGTCAACGCACAGAAGTGGAGAGGAAAAATCAAGTACTGCAAGAGATGCAGAACAAGATTGAGCAACAAAGGGGAGAAGGTCATACCGAAGTGCGTGAAGTACGACTGGAAAGAGGCTAACATTCCGAAGCCAACGAAGCACTGGTACATGAAAATGAGAATGGCGAACAAGAAGAACGAGAAAGAAATTTGCGAGAAATTTGGCATCAGCAAGGCTGAGCGGGCGTGGATCTGCGCATACCAGCCGAGGGGTGCCAAGGAAACTGAGGAGTGACGGTATGAGACCAGGCCTTGGGCCTGGATGAGAGGAGGAGGAAAGGGCAAAGAAAAAGAAGAGGGTACAAGAAGAAAGGAAGAGGACAGTGAAGAGGGCCGTCAAAAAGAAACCAGGAGGGAAGCTAGGAAAAAGCAAAAGAACAAAGTGACCGGCGAAGGCCTAAGAATTACTACTTGGAATGGAGGAGGACAAGCAGGAATTTGGAGGCTCATCCACACCATGGAAGAAGAAAAAGAAGACGACACAGACATTTTCTGCTTGCAGGAGGTGACATGCAATGAGGACCAATGGATTGGCGTTGAGAACGCATTTGCCAGAAGAGGATACAAATGCTACTACACCTCCTCAGGAGGAACGAGGAAAGTTGAAGAATGCAGAAGGAGAGTGGCCAGCGAAAGAACGAAGGAAGGAGGAGTGGCGATCATCGTCAAAGCCTTTCTACCCCAACGTTTGAT